CTTGCCGAAGAAGTAGAGTCTGTCATTCTGCCAGGTGTCATGGTCCACAGGGAGCCTGTCACAAGGTTCGTGATCATAGTCTCTCTCTTCCTCCCCGTCATCAGACGATTGGTCGTCGACTCGTTCGCCCCGAAACACACGCTTCAAACCGGCAGGGGACGTGCTATATCTCCGAGGGTCACCTTCCTCTTCATCACCAACCTGTCCAACCACCCGAGGAAGTGGCATGGACTCGAAATCGAAGGTTTCGGAGTCGCTCAGCTCCTCCATGTCTTCAGCGTCGAAAGGGTCATCCTCGTCAAACTGTGACTTGTAGTTTTCGAGAGTGAGCGGTTCGGCCAGCGTGAAGTAAACATGCTCCAACCTTCTCAGGAAGTGGGAGACAGACTCCCTGGGTGCACCGTGGTACCCATTGAGCATAGCGAACACCAGGTTTCTCTGTCGACTGTATTCGAGGTCGGTCTGACCAGGCGGTCCGGGTCCGAAAAGGAAATCCCAAACGTCCGTCGTTTTGTTCCCCGACAATTTCCAATACATGTCACGTTTGGGATCCCAGTTTTGTTCGCCGGTGGTCTGGACAAACTCGCAAGCATTGCGAGTGTCTGCAACGCGTGCCTTCACGAACTCGTGAAGGTAATCGATCATCTTCGCCTCCTTCTCCAACGCAACGACCTTCCGACCGGTGCGCAGGAGTTCCCACACGACATACGCATGCGCCTTCCCAAAGAAAAAAACTGTTTGACCAGTTTTGCAAAAGTTTTCGAGTAGACCAACTAGACGGGACGAATTCCGCTCCATCTCCCGTAAGCAGGTCCTAGAGAATTTGTCACGCCGCCGTCCTCCCACATCCTACGAATGAACCTTTCCTCTTCCGCCACGTCGAAACATGCCACAGCCTGTCCTGATGGGTCCAACGAACAGACAGCTTTCGAGCGGTCCGCCACCGTGTGTTTGGCCGGACTTGGACCATGAGCACGGGAAACCTTTGTCGGGCTACTGGCCGGGTAGACTGCGAATTTGTTGTCTTCCAGCTTCTCACCATTAAAAATCACGTACAGGCGGTCACACTCCTCAACCAGCATATTGCCTTCCCGGACAGTGGACTGCTTTTGTGCATTACGTACCCACTTCTCTATCCTGACGTGATGGACGCTAAGCCTGGGCATGCCTTTCAAGAAACTGAGCTCCCAATGAGAGGGAAAAAAAATCACAAGTGCCCCGTGCGTTGGCGAAAGTGTTTGTAGAAGGTCTTGCAAGTTGGCGAAATCGTCTTCTCGCCAGTCTGTGAGGAGTGTGGGATCACACAAATCGAGGACGTACAGGTTGCACACGTAATGTCGCACAACCTCACAGATCGCAGTGACATGACTGTGAGCTTGGGAAGGCGGAAAAGCGAAAGGAATAAGGCTGGTCACCCGGTTGAGGTCGGGCCATTTGATGTGCCTCACATCCCCGCTGACCCTGATCGTGTCTCGAACTTCTTCTTCCGTCCGTCGCAAGATGGAACGGACATACTTTTCGAAAGATTTAGGGAACCTGTTGTCCTCGTACAATTTCTTTGCGTCGTCAAGGGACTCCTTCTCGTGCGGAAGAGTACGTTTGCAAGTGTTCACGTACTCCACCGCGCCCTGGAAATGCTTTCGCATTTCGACCCACACCTGTTTCGTTAGGCCCTGCGGCCCGAACTCCTCCAGAAGCCGCCCCTCGGTGCGGAAAAAAGGGCTCTCGTAGCGCCAAACACGTTCGTCCGCCTCAGTTTCAAGGAACAAGATGTAGTGGAACATACGGAGCATCACACGGTCCACTTTTGTCGTCGCGACCATGTCTTTAATTCCTGGTTTATGCTGACGCTTCAGATGGTCGCCCGCGGATTGCACGAACACTCCCCTTAGCGTGAGAATGTTGTCAAGAATCGACAATTTCTCGACATCGATCATGTCTGCGAGACACTGCCAACAGAATATGTCTGGCTCCTTCACGACCACGAAAAACTTGTCGTCCGCTTGCGTTTTCTTTTTGGTCGGAGGCGGCGGGACCCGGACCAGCCACCCCATCTTCGTTTCACCAGCCGCCCCTTTTGAGCCCATTTCCGAAATTGCTTGCAGACCCGAAGACTTGTCTGGCATGTATTTGCCCGGCCTCGACAATGGCGTCTTGCCGTCGCCGCCCAACAAGTTCCCCTCCGCCCATTTCGCGTAGAATTCCATGACTTTGCGGAAAACATCGTCACCGGCCGCCACGAGTGGCATCCACTGCCTCAATGCATTGCCAACTGCAGCGACATAGTCCTTGTCAGCGAGCGACGAATTTTTTTGTGCCAACGTCCAGTGAGCTCCGTTCGGACTCTTTCCCAAAATCAGCTTTTGGAAATCGAAGAACTTTTGTTTTTCGGCCTCCTTGCCGGAAGGGTTCCCTTGAATGGCCATCGACCTTTCTTCGTTCTCCCATGCCTCCCACATGTCCAAGAACGCGGCTTTCTGCGACCGCTGCTTCGACATCTTGTGTCTCGTATTTTCGTTGAGACTGACCTGCCTATAACCCGCGAAATCTCGGTCGGAGAACCATACTACTCTCGCTGGCCACGAGTGCATCTTCCACAAATCGAATATTTGCTCACCCTCCAACTCCTTCACAGCAGCCACGGTGTGTTGTCCGTTAACAGGGTAATAGTAGTACTTGTCCTTGTCCTCTGGCTTGAAGACATCTTTGTGAACCCTGTCTGCTTGCTCCGGCCTACGCGACACCGACTTGTAGATGGGTGCCAAAACGAGAGGGTTTTTCGTCCAGATCTTCTTCTCGCGGAAGTGACTCAGCATCGCATCCTTGATGCCGTCCACAGTTTCGCGACTTAGACTGCGGTGGTTGTAATATCTTTCCCAAGGCGGGATGTCGCAGACCTTCCTGGGGTCGATGAACAGTTGGACGGGGCGCTCCTTCTCCACGATTTCACCAACATCGTTGCGCTCGTATTCGAGCCAGAACGCTGTCGCTTCGTCGCACTCCTGACCGACAGACCCTTCGCCACCGCTCGCCGCCTCAGCACTCTTCCGCCTTCGAGGTTTCTTCTGGCCATCGCCTTCTTCAGCTCCCACTTTCCGTTTCGATTTCCCCGAAGGTTCTCTCGCGGCCGCAGCGCCTGGATCAGCCGAATCTCCTCCACCCGCGGCTTGTCCTTCGCGGATGGTCAAACCGCCTGGCCTCCTCGCTTTTTTACTTGTCGTCCCACCCTCTTCGTTCGTCGGCTTCTTTCCCGAGGCACATTCTCCGTCGCCACCTCCATCCCCGTCCATCAACGTCTCCGGTTTTCCTCTCATCCTCTTCATGCGGAGGGTTTCTTCCGCCACCTCCTCTCTCACCATCCTCTGTCGCTCGCTCTTCTTCTCCGAAGGAGTCTGCTCCCCGCCAGAGCTTTAGCGGACAGCGCCCATCCCTTCAGCCTCATTCCCTCCAACATATAGCCCCGATCTGCTTGAATCTCTTTTCGTCTCATCTCGAAGCGAATACGTGTAGGCGCCGCAGCAGACCTTGATAAGTTTCGGAGTACCAACCCGTTGAGTCCCTGTACCCTGAGAATGCAAGTCTGACGTGTTCCTAGGAGCATCCGGGCTGACCTGCGTGTGAACGCTGCGTCCCTTGACCCGACCCCCAGCGTCTTGAATCGGACTCCCGCGCCCCACTGCCGTATCTGGAGTTTCTTGAGCCAAGCCGGACGACCCCTCACGGGGTGGCAGAAGCCGGGAAACATGCTCTGGCGGAAGAACCGGACGTTCTTTCGGCACCATCACCGCGAGATCGAGATATTGCTCTGGCGATGGAAGACGCTTGCTGCCGCCATCGTAAAGGCCTTTGGAGTGAGAGCACAACGGCATGTTCGAGCCGTACCCCGCGAAACTCTTGATGGTCACCAGCACACCTTTAACACCTCTGATAGGCAGTCTGCACTCGTCGTACACGCCATTAGTGTGCAGCTTGAGCAAACCTCCAGGAATCTTCGCGCACGAGATGACGGTACCGAGAGGAAGAACATTGACCGCTCCCCCAGCGTCTGTAACGCAAGTGGGTCGCATGAAAACAGCTGGCCCAAAAAGGTCCCCCTAAACAACGAAATCCAAAAACCATGGTGCTCCCTTTGTGTGCATATACTGAGGAGCAGGTTGCTGTACAGGTCGTCCCTCCCCGGGGGAAGATGGTCCAGCGCTTGTGGATGTGTTCTTTGCGGACTCCATTGTAGTCCCACCCGTTGGCTAGCACGCCCAACCTCAGACCAACTCGGATGACTAATACGCCCAACCCCAGACCACTATAGAAGCGAAGCGCGAACTAACTCGGACTTAACGAAATGGTGGACGAAAAGGACGTAAGAGATGGGTGTTCGAAATGCACACGAAGTCACAACAATCGGGTGAAGGATAGGAAAGACAGAAGTTCGGAGGGAAGACGATAATTGTTCGGAAAGATTGCGACCCAACTAGATGCCCTCGAAACGAGTAAGATGTGGTCTATCGACAAGTGCGACGGGTGTCGACAAGTGCGAACTAACTCGCACTTCTGTAGACAAGACAACAATGGCAACCCGCTGCACTAGGGGAAAGTGCGAACTAACTCGGAATTGTGGAACTGAAGACCTGAGAGGCGCACGAAACGAGTAAGATGTGGTTTATCGACAAGTGCGAATCGACAAGTGAGAACTAACTCGCAATTCTGCCTTTCACAAGTGCGAACTAACTCGCAGTTCTGTAGACAAGACAACTATGGCAACCCGCTGCACTAGGGGAAAGTGCGAACTAACTCGAAATTGTGGAACTGAAGACCTGAAAGACGCACGAAACGAGTAAGATGTGGTTTATCGACAAGTGCGAATCGACAAGTGAGAACTAACTCACAATTCTGCTGACAGGATGACAATTGCAAACCGAAGTGCAACGAGAAAATACGAACTGACTCCAAATTGTGGAACTGAAGTCCTGGTTTATAGACAATTGCGAAGGGTTTTGACAAGTGCGAACTAACTCGCAGTTCTGTAGACAAGACAATAATGGCGATGCGCAGCACTAGAGGAAAGTACGAACTAACTCGGAATTGTGGAACTGAAGACCTGAAAGCCGCACGGGTTGGGTTGTCAACTCTCCAGCAGTGTTGCTCAAAAAGTGCGAACTAACTCGCATTTGTGGAAATAAAGAACTGCCTTTAATGAAATATGTGTCTAACCTTGAGAAAACTGCGCATAACCTCGCAGTTGTCAATCCTCAAACACTGTACGTCGCAAACTGCGAACTGACTCGCAATCTCTCTCTCTCTCTCTCTCTCTATATATATATATATATATATATATATATATTTGACGATATATATATATATATATATATATATATCAGGTCGGCGACCTCACAAGGGATAGGTGAGCGAAAATCGAGAATTGATTCGGTGTTCAGTTTAGCAATATATCTAGATATAGATACATATATGTATCTATATCTTTATATATATATATGTAGATATCAGGTCGGCGGCCTCACAAGGGACAGGTGAGCGAAAATCGGGAATTGATTCGGTATTCAGTGTAGAAACTAGGTATTGATTCGGGGTTCGCCATGCGCAGCGACGACTGCAAGTTGCGAAGGGGATCGAGCAGCTTTATACGAACGTTATTGTGGCTATGGTGAAAGGTAATCGAGCTGCGGAACGCGGATCGGTTATGGCGGACGGAGGTGGAGGGTGGAGAAAAGAGATCAGAGCACGTCCACTGGTGAAACAAAAAAACCGGGAATTGATTCGGGGTTCAACAGAACGTGGTTGTGGCGTTATATCCTGCAGGTACAGACAGGGCATTTGGGAATGTGTTCGGACATCGGACACAGAATAGGACAACTCAAGTTATATGATTTTACCTTCGTCGTGCGTTGAGCGAGTAACCAACCACTGAACCAGCTATGGTGGAGGGATATCGAGCTAGGAAGAGCGAAGACCGAGGAGCAAAGAGCGAACCGAACACAATGTGGCAACTGCAGACGGAGCGAAGACTGAAGAGTGAGCGGGTTATGGCAGAAGGTGGTGGGGGCTGAAGACCAAATATCAGAACGTGCGCGGAAGCGATAGCGCGACTTGATCTGTGGAGCGCCAACAAAAGGGATAACTCGAGGGCTGCAACGCCTTTTATACTTTGTTACAGCAGACCTCGCGTCGGGATCAAGGTGGGGCCGAATCGATTCGCATATCGCACCCCTGGGCCCATAAAACGCCATCAAGGTGGGGCCGAATCGATTCGCGTATCGCACCCCTGGGCCCATAAAACGCAAGGGCCTATAAACAGTAAGGGGTACCGGAAATTGTCAGCCGTCGATCAACAATTTTCAACCGCGCAGATGAACGGAGCCACTGTTATGCCAGTAGCCCCAAAATCTCCGTCTACTCCGGCGTGCAATGATGTGACAGTTCCTGAAAACAAGGGGCAGGCAATGTCATTTTCGCAGTTGTAATCTGGACCGTCGATCGGCATGATCCGACGCACGAGGTAAGGCGTAAGAATCTATAAGGTGAGGCGATTCGTTGTGCGCCGAGGCGGTTCGTTGCGCGCCAAGGCCAGGCGACGACTTATTTCCCGCCGAGGCGCGGCGATTCGTTGTGCGCCGAGGTAAAAAACACCGAAAATCTATAAATTCCAGTGTCGCTGTCATTCGGACATTTTGCAAATGTCAACGGATCGATGCGCTTAGCCATGCACCATCGTTATCGGTGCGCTTAGCTCATCGCCATCGCCAACGCTCGCCATCCACCATCTCCATCGATGCGCTTAGCTCATCGCCATCGCGACGCAAAGCTATATCCCCCATCGAAGCCGTCACGCTCGCCTGACCATCGCAGCGCTGACAATCGCCATCGCTCTCATTGCAGCGCTGGCCATCGCTGCGCCATCGCAACGCTGGTACCATAGCGGCCATCGCAACGTTTGTTCCATCGATGTGCCATCTCTCAATCGGTGCGCCATCACTATCGCTGCCATCGCTATCGCTGTTCCATCACTGCGCCATCGCTATCGTTGTTCCATCGTTGTTCCATCGCTGCGCCATCGCTGTCCACCGGTGCGCCATCGTTGCACAATTGCTATCACTATTTTATCGCTGCCATCGCTATCGCTATCGCTGCATTGTAACGCGTTCCATCGTCGCGCCATCACTCTCCACCAGTGCGCCATCGCTCTCCACCGCAGTGCTGGCCATCGCTATCGAAGCCCTCGCTAGTGTTATCCCACCGCAGCGCTGCGCGATTTCTCTCTCCATCGCCGCACAATCTCCCTCCATCGCTGAGTGATCACTCTCCATCTCACTCCATCACTGCGCGATCTCTCTCGACAACTGGGAAACCTCCATCCTTGCACCAGAGGCTCTCCATTACTTGTGCGCGATCCCGCCATCACCATTGTATTGTTGTTTCAGGCCATCGTCGGTGCAGCCGCCCATCACTGTGGAATCGCATGAAACAGGTGACAGGTATGCTTAACGAAGGTTTAACTCGATGGAACTGATGGTGTGCAATAACAAATCTTGGTCATCGTTGTGCCTTCTCTCTCCATCGCTGCGGCATTGCTAACCATTGTTGCGCGTCCTCTCTCCATCTCTCTCCACCGATGTGCGATCTCTACGGACCTCTCGTCATCTATCCCCATCGCTGCGGTATCTTTCCTAATCTATCTCCTTCGTCATCCATCTCCCTCGGTGCGCTATCTTTCCTAGTCTATCTCCTTCGTCATCTATCTCCATTGCTGCACTATCTTTCCTAATCTATCTCCATCGTCATCTATCTGCTTCGGTGCGCCATCTTTCTCCATTGCTGTGCTATCGCTAACCATCGCATCGCCTGCTATCTCCGTTGCTGCGCCATGTTTCTCCATCGGTGCACAATCTCTCTCTCTCCCTGCGGCACACCTCCCAATCAGTTCGCGATCTCTTTCCCTTCCTGCGCCATCCACCTTCTTCCCCGGAATAAACAACGCACTTTCATTACAGTTGTCTTTAGACTGAAAGATGACCCGAATTCAGCTGTAATGACCGGACGTTTTATTCGGGGGAAGGTTGTGACTCCATCCATCTCTCTTGGTGCGCCATCTCTCTCATCCGGTGCGCCATCTTTGTCCATGTATTTTCATCGATGCGTCGTCTGCCCATCGCTTCGCAATCTTTCTCCATCTTAAAAAATAGCACGCCATATTTTCCTATTTCTCTCTTGCGACGATCTGTGACTCGTACTACATGCAGAACAAGCCGGAAACAACTTGCACTTATACCCGCAGTTTCGTAATGGAAATGCTCATTTACAAGTTCGAATTCATTCGCTCTTGAACCAACCAACCCCTTAATTTGTCACTGTTTAGTCCATAGGTCAGAATTAACTCGCGCTTGTACCCCCAGTTTCGTAATGAAAATGCCCGTTTGCAAGTGCAAATTTATTCGCTCTTCAATCAACCATCCCCCTAAATTTCTTACTCTACAGTCCAAAAGTCCCAGTTTCATAGTGGAAATGTTCGTCTGCAAGTGCGAATTTATTCGCTCTTCAACCAGCCATCCCCCCAAATTTTTGGCTTTTTAGTCCACAAGCCCCAGTTTCGTAATGGAAATGCTCGTTTGCAAGTGCGAATTTATTCGCTCTTCAACCATCCATCCCCCTAAATTTGTTCCTCTTTAGTCGATAATTCGCGTATCTTCTCGGCCCAAAAGAAATAAGTCGTTTTGTATTTGCGAGTTAACTCGCCACTGAACCAACCACGAAGGCAATTTCTTATTGCACGGCGTAATCGAAATGTTCCTCTGAAGTACGAATTTTTTGGCACTTGAAATTTCTCGCTGTGTAGTGGAAAATACCGAATCGACTCGCACTTGTGTTCGGTCTTGTTCCGACCATGAACTTAATTTCTTACTGTACGTTGAATAAGTCCGAATCAGCTCGCATTTGTACTCTCGCCTGAAAAAGTGCGACTTTACTCGGAGATATCCAAACCACTTGCACACTTAAGGAGTGGGTGAGGAGTTGGACTTGAGATACCACTTGAGCCTCACATCAGCGTCCGACAAAACGATATGGATTCAAATGCTGTTGTTCCACTGTTTTGTGATAAATATTTGAAATGTGAGTTTGCTCCCTCTTGTTTATTTCCCTGACCTCGTCATATGTTGACATGATTTTCTTGTTACATAATTTCCTTGTGAATCATCTTCAAATGGCTGTCCAATCCGTCCACTGTGTCACGCCACCGCCACCA